GGCTCCCTCGTCGAGGCCAAACAAAAACCTTCTGACACCTCGCGAACGGCCCCGTCCAGACCCAGGGGGAGGGGGTAGTGGGAGGGTAAAGACACCCCCTAGATAGCAAGCCGTCTAACTCACTCCCACCCGCCCCCCCAACACACAAGTAACACCCGAGCCTCAGCATGTTTACCGGTCGTCTCTGGATGGGCAGCTACTGGGAACCAAAACCGACCCCATGTGTGCGACACTGGGGCGAGGTGCGCCACGCGTTCCAAGCGCGCCACGCGCGCCAGGCATCCCTGGGGCCCGAGCGTGCCAGGCACGCCTGGTGCGCCACGTGTTCCGCGTGCGCCAGGTGTGCCGCCGCACCAGGTGCGCCACGCTCGGGGCACGTGCAGAGTGTCTCAGCACACAGCGGGAAGCATGTCGGCCATCACCATCCTTGTCGAAAAGCAATGCCCATCATTGTGTCTGGTGGGCCTGCGCACAGCAGGCCATACGCCACCAACCCCGCCGTACCTGTCAAAAACCATTTGACAGTGATCGCGGGTTGACCGCGCATGATCCAGATTTAGCCGCGAGGTGCATGTTGTATGTTTGTTGTTAGGGGTGGTAGCCCCGTGCACAGCAGGCAATATGCTGATATCCCCGCCGTCCCTGCCAAAAATCATGCAAAGTGCTCGCGGGCCTCACGAGCATGACTCAAGACTTTGCCCCAAAGTGTATTGTGCACTGTTGTTTGAATGGGATGTGGGGGCGAGACGACATCGGGTTGGCCGCGCATGCTCCAAATGTGAAGGCAGAGTGCGTTGTGTATTGTCTTTTGAAAGGGGTGGTGGGGGGGGTGCGCATGGTTCCCGGTTGGCTGCCAGTCGCCTGGGGGAGGGGGTGTGTACCAATAGGGAACAGTGATTAAATCTTCCCCGAAGGAGAAGAGGGAAGATGGAAGAGGAAACACTCTAAACCGCTCACGCCCCGAAGAGTTCGTGGGATTCCCTTTCCTCATTGATCGGATCCCGCGTTCTGCCCAGCACCTCTCCTCTCCCCCTTGATTTGGTATATTTTTCTGGACCTCTTGTGAGAAGGGGAGGGGGTGAAGGAGAAACAAGCAAGGTGCGAGGAGGAGGAGGAGGAGGAGGAGGAGGAGGCACGGCGCGATCAGGAAGGAGGGAGGGGGAGAGAGGGGAGGCGGAGGAGGGCGAGGTGGGGCAGCAACAGAGAGGAGGAGGAGGAGGAGGAGGAGGAGGAGGAGGAGGAGGTGGAGAAGGAGGAGGAGCAGCAGCAGAATGAGGAGGTGGGGACAGGAGGAGGGCGGAGGATTGGAGAGTCGGAGGAGGAGGAGGAGGTGGACAAGAGGAATGGGAGGAGGAGGAGGAAGAGGAGGAGGAGAAAGAGGAGGAGGAGGAGAGGAGGGAGGGAGGAGGAGGAGGAGGAGGAGGAGGGAGGAGGAGGGGGAAGAGGAGGAGGAGGAGGAGGAGGAGGAGGAGGAGGAGGAGGAGGATATAGTGGTGGGAGAAGTAGTGGTAGGACAGAAGCAGGAAGAGGAGAAGGATGATAAGGAGGAAGACAATAGGAGAGGAGCGAGGAGCCAGTAGGGAGGAGAAGCAGCAGTATGAAGGAGGGAGCGGAGGGCGGAGGGAGGGGGGAGGAAAGGGTGAGGGACGATGAAGAAGAGAGCCCGGCCAGGGAGCGTTGTGCCATGTGCACCATGAGTGATGTGCGCCGCGATGTGCGCCAGGAGTGCCAGCAAGCCCGGCCTCAAAGAGGCCAGGCCCACGCGGCGCTTGAGGCGCATCCCCAGACCATAACCCCACTGCCCAGGGCCCCCCGGTGTGATGTGGGTGGGGGCTCACGAGGGTGCCTCGGGCTGGGGGAGGAGGGAGGGACGGAGGACCCGTTTAGATCCGACGGCGCGGAGAAAGTTGAAACGTCGCAGAAAATCACGACCGGGGCCTCTCAAGCCCCATCTTTCTGCGCCATTTTGCGAGCTGGATCGATCTGCGAGGGCCCCAGTGCCCGAAGCCTGTTGAAAATGCCCAGCTCGGAAAGATGGAGACGCCGGGATCTCAGGGGGGAGCGGCGGGAACAGGGCGGAGAAGGGAGCACGGCCAGGAACAGTTGCCTGGCGTGTCCCTCCGCCGGTGCTGGCCCGGCAGACTTTCGGCCCGGCGCGCCAGCCACGTCCCGTGCCCGAGCGCCAGCGCCACGAGCTCTGCGACGCCTCCGCCTCCGCCTCCGCCTCCGCCTCCGCCTCCGCCTCCGCCTCCGCCTCCGCCTCCGCCTCCTCCTCCTCCTCCTCCTCCTCCTCCTCCTCCTCCTCCTCCTCCTCCTCGAAGCCTCCCGCCCCGCGCAGCGGTGGCGGCACGCTGTCCGCTTGAAAGGGCGCGGCGCGTCGCCGTAAGCCACCGCCGCGACACGCCAAGCAGAAGTTCCTGAGCGTTCCGAGGTGGGGCTCGAGCGAAACGGTGTTTTGGCAAGCGCGTGGGCCGTTTTCGTTCTGACTTCGCTCCGCAGCAAGGGCAGAACGAAAACGGAACGAAGGACAACGAACGCATACAGCGAAAAACACTGTTTAGTTTGAGCCTTGCTTGAGCATTAATTGTTTCAGAGTTTGCCTTCGCTTTGCCTTAGGTTATCGATGGACAGTTCCAACCTCTGGAGAGAAAAAAAAAAGGACTCGTTCCTTATTCAGGGTTCCTTGGGTCAACGCCCCGACCCTATCCCTCGATAGCCTTGGTGTCTCCCAGAAGCCATGGGGCACCTCGGGTATTTCAGAGCTCGACGATAAGCGTGCCTCGAGGTTATCATAACAAGGTTTGTCTCAGCGCATGTTTATGCTGTACCCGGCAAGCAGGTCCGTCTGGCCCAACGCTGGCCGCGAGAGGCAGACGTACGCCGAGCAGCGCGCGTGGCGCAGGTCGATCGCGCGATCTCGTTCCCGAATAGACGCCGCGCCAATTCCATACACGCGTGTGCCTACGTTGCAGTACAGTGGAGTTTGATCTGGAGGTCGATTATCCCACATCCAGGGTGCCCGCGTGCTTTGTGGTTCGCGTCCATATCCCCTGCATTCCAGGGACGGCGTGGCCCTCGGAATGGTCTTTTGTTTCCTCTCGCGTGGCCTTTTTCCACTCGTGCTCGGCTGTAGACCCGCCAGCCTATGGCCGGTACGGAGGAGGTTTTCGCGCGTGGATCCACACCTGCAGGTGATGACGCCAGCGTATTGCAAGTGCAGGCGCACATGTTTCTTCACTCGCTGCGCCTCCACATCTTTCCAGCACGCGCGAACTACTGTAGATTGAAAACGCATAGTGCCCGTACCCGCTCTGCGGGGGCGTCGCACGTGCAGCCGAAAGGCGGCTGCCTACGTACAACGTTTAGGTGTTAGTCCTTCGCCTCAGCGTCAGCCGGAAGCCATGTTTTATTGCGATGCCGTTCTGGTTGTCTGTGGGAATCCTGTCCGGAGTTGCAGCATCGAGGCTATGACACAAGTAATGAGCACACTCAACTTGTGGTGTTCACGTTTTTAAGTTGTGAATACAGGCCTCAGCATACGAATGTGGGTGCTTACGCGTTCAGGCTGAGCTCTAGCTTTGCTTGTGGTTGTCGATGCAATTTCGCCAGCAGTTTGCCAACTGCAAACCCCGCCGCCGTGCCATCGCTGCATCAAGGTGCTCTCAAGCCCCCCTACCACGGATCCACCGAGGTACCATCAACTCCCCAAACACTGGTTACACCAAGGGGTTCCGTTGTACCCACTTCTTCTGAGTAAGTGGCACTGGCTTCCGGGTTGTCCCTCGCCGCCGTCGGAGGACGCGCAAGGGGGGGGGGGCGGGGGGGGCGATGGATGAGGGGCCAGCGAGGGCTGCCGAAGAGGGCCCCTGCAGGGGCCCAGAAGGGGGGCCTCTCGGGCCCGAAAAAGGGCACCGTTCTCCCCCGCTCCTCCCCTTGTTGATCGTCCCCCCATCACTTCCGCGCCCGACGCCCGTGGGGGCGCCCCATGGGCGCCTCGTGCGTGGACACGGTCCCCGGAGTGTCGCTCGCTCGCCGCAAGAGGGCGCTCCTTTCGCCCGCGCCTCGGGCGCGGGCCGAGCTTGGGAGGGTCTTCAGGCCCCGTCGCCGCCCGCCCGGCGCTTCGGTTGCCGCCCACAGGGCTTGCACCGCATGGTTTGCACCACCGAGGTTGCACTGTGTGTGAAGTCCGCTCGCATCCCCATTCTATCATCACACACCGCAGCTGTATCGGCTCAGGTATTGGCACAAACACTGACAGTGCGCTGCCCTCTGTGCAGCGCCCAGGACAAGGAATAGCTACCCTCTTCCTCCTTGCCTCTACCTACGGACACCAGTATAGGATCGACCCCCCAGTCGTCTCCCTATACACACATGCATCACCCAGCTTGCACCGGTGATCATATGTCGGCGGCGAGCGATGGGGGGCAAGCGAAAAGGGGCGGGCCTTCTGGGAAGGCTTGGAAGTCCCCCAGCCTCCCGAGAAGTTGTCTTAAGCCTTACCCCGAAGACACAGAATTCTTGTCAAAAGGCGCGAGGGCTGCTGAGAAGTCCCGCCACCCTCTCAGAAGGACTTCTCTCCTTCTCGCTTCCCTCCACTCGCTCGCCGCCGAATATGGTTTCATTCAGCTTCCACCATACAGGTTGCATCAGATATGCTGCACCACACAGGTCGCACCACACATATTGCATCGCAGAGCTTGCACCACAGAGACAGCAGCACATACTTTATCTTGGCACCGCTCGGACGTGTGCATGTTCTCGGCGTGGACCATCGAGGAGCATCCTGGATCATCTTGCGACAAAACACGCACGAAATCGAGAAATGCCTGGTGAATGGACGTCTGAGAGATGGCGAGTTAAATATCGATCCAGCACCGTCATCTTGATATAACGTTATCAACGGTATTTCAAGCATCATGTTCATGCCAACTCCAAGCCAAATACACAATCGGGCACCACCCCAAATTTCTGGGCCACTAAAGGAACACGGCCGGATACCGATCGGAACGGCAGCGAACATTGATCGGGGATCATCAAAAAGCAATCAGCGTTCCGTCGGGATTGCGTTACACATTTCAAAACTTGATCTCACAGCATTGATCAAACACTTAAACACAGCCCGCGCTCACAGCAAAACAATCGGACCACCACAGGGACACCCTCGGAAAACGAAGTCGAGGCATCACCAAATAGCAGTCGAACCGCAATCAAAACAGAATCGAAGCAGTGTCAAGAAGCTGTCGGCACTCTACAATGAGATGATCTGCCCCACCGCCCGTCCGAAGCAGCAGACGCAACAACAAGAGGAGGACACCGTGGCAACGCGAGCCCACGCAGACAAGGCTTCTGGCTTCCTGTCGCACGAATGTGAGGTTCGATATGGTGGGATCGGCTGGTGATTTTTTTTTTGCATTGTTTTGCCGATCGGCGCGGGCCCCCACCCCCCCCCCTCCCCACCCCCCATGGAGTAGATCTTGGCTGCGTTTGGGCGCCTGTTTCGAGCGGGTGGGGCCTCACCCAGAGCCCGCACTCCTGCAAACAGTCGCACTGAGCAGAGGTCTGGAGCCAGACCCCCCCCCTCCCCCCGCCCTTGCCGCCCAATGCCGAAACGCCGAACAGCAAAAACGCTCACCTTCCGGAAATGTGCACACGGCCTTCAAGACGCGCCACCTTCCCCATGCATGCAGGCGCATTCGTGAGCGTGCACGGCAGTGAAGAAAGCGAGCCGAGGACGTGCGAGGATAAGAGAGTAAGAGGACAACGATAGCGAGGGGGGAGGGGGAGGAGGAGGAGGAGGAGGAGGAGGAGGAGGAGGAGGAGGAGGAGGAGGAGGAGGAGGAGGAGGAGGAGGAGTGGAGGAATGGAGGAATGGAGGAATGGAGGAGGAATGGAGGAGGAATGGAGGGGGAGGAGGAACCATCGGCCACAGGAGAGTGAGGATTCCTAAACGAATTGGCCATGCCTGTGCGCTTTCTTTCCCATCTGCTCTCAGGGTGCTTTAGGGGAGGACCTGGAACAAAGGAGATGCACGAAGTCCGAGAGAGACAACCGGTTCTCAAGGAAATTGAAAGAAGAGTTTTTTCCAAAGTTTAAAAATGCCCCTTCTTGTCCTAGAATGCCTCGATTGTTGATTGCCTATATTCTCAGAGCTCACATAACCATGTCTAGCAGGTGCTCCTGCCACGTCGAGTACTGCTCACCATTCATAGATCAGAGCTGCCACCAGCGGGCTACACGCTCGAACAGATCGAGGTGCACAACCACATCTTATCATCCGAAGGGCAAGGGAGGGACGAAGGAAAAAAGGAGGGAGCGAATGCGGAGGGCGAGGGCCAGCACCAGGAGGGGGGGAGCAGGAGGAGGAGGAGGAGGAGGAGGAGGAGGAGGCGGAGGCGGAGGAGGAGAAGGAAGGAGGAGGAGGAGGAGGGGAGGAGGAGGAGGAGGCGGAGGGGAGGAGGAGGAGGAGGGGGGAGGGGGATGGGGAGGGGAGGAGGAGAGGCGGGACACGAGCAGGACGACGGGGAGGCGGCGGACCGGGGCCCAGGGCTCCGCTCGAGCCTTCCCCCACCTCCCACTCTCCCTCCTCTGCTCTCAATCTCCCGCCCGTTGCTCTGCCCGCCCCCCCCCCCCCCCCCCCCCCCCCCCCCCCCCCCCCCCCCCCCCCCCCCTCCCGCCCCCCCCCCCCCCCTCCCCTCACCGTCCATCCCCCGCCCTCGCCTCCACCACGCCCACTCTCCCCCGCCCCCACTCCCCATCCCGCTCCCCTGCCCATCCCGATTCCCTCCCCGGCCCCCCCCGTTACCATTTTTTCCCCCTGCCCCCTGTGACTCCAGTCACGCTCCCCAGCCCCGTTCCCACTCGCCCCCCTCCACCTGCTGTTGACCCCATCCCCTCCGCCCTGCCCCCCGTCCTCGCAAGTCGGCCCCTGGGCCTCTGCAGGGGGCGCGCTCCTGCCAGGGACCCGAGGCCGATCCGGCCGCGGCGACCAGGCAGACCTCCCGCTGGAGGCCCACAGGGGTAGAGCCTCGAAGCTCGAGCCTCGAAGCTCGAGGCCCGACCCTCATTCCTCGAAGCTCGAGCCTCGATCCTCGAGCCTCGAGCCTCACTCCTCGAAGCTCGAGCCCCGAGGCTCGAGCCTCGCAGCTCGATCTCCTCGAGCCTCGAAGCTCGAGCCTCGAGCCTCGAGCCTCGAAGCTCGCATCCTCGGAGCTCGGCCCTCGAGCCCCCGCCAGCCCAGGACCCGCCCCGGGCGCGCCGCCGCCGCCGGGCGAGGCCGCCGCCGCGCCCGCCGCTCCCGCGGACCGGGCGGTGGCGCGGGCGACCCGCACGTGGCGGTCGGAGCTGCAGGACGGCGCCGCCGTTGGGCGGTCCTCGCCGCCTCGCCGCCGGCCCTGCTGCTGCTGCTGCTGCTGCTGCTGCTGCTGCTGTTGCTGCTGCTGCTGCTGCTGCTGCTGCTGCTGCTGCTGCTGCTGCTGCTGGTCCTCCTCCTCCTCCTCCTCC